CTCCCCAAAACCCCAAAACCCCAAAACCCCTGTTATCAATAAATTATTGAATAGTAGCCAGATCATGATTTTATGAGAATTCACACCTTTATTTTCTAAGTTTACGCCGAGAGATAATAAAATCATCACTCCAGTCTTGCTTCTTAGAAGGAAATATTGAGATGTCATGCACATACTCAACATTACGTTGAGTCCCTGTGGTGTCTTGGACATCATGCAGGTAGCTGAAAGACTTGCTTTCAGGCATCCGGCTTGAAGTGATATAATCCGCAGAGTTTTCCCTTCTATTGTGATGCTTCTAAAGAGTTATATCACAGACCTACTTTGTGGTTGAGTGCAAAGTTTCTATCTTTAATCAGCTGCTCTAAGAGAGTGTTCTTACTTCTTCTCTGACCATCAAGGATCTCCTTGATCTTCCGCAGAGAAGTTTTGTTCAAATGCTTTATCTTGGTATAGTCATGCAAGGAAGGTTTCTTTTCTAATGAAGCATTTTTCTTTTTAGCAGTCCTAAACTTGATATTCTCCATATTTGCATTCTCAAAGACAACATCCTTGGGCCTTCCGGATACTTTGCGACTGATACCATTTGCAGATTTGCTATAAGTTATATAATAAAATCGTACTACAAATCTTGGAATTTTCTAGCTGAATTCACTCCATGAGGAAACTTCATCTCAGAAAATGAGATATTTTGCTCTATTGGATACGCTTCTAAATCAGAGTTTGACCTCTGATGCTTCTATAATTATATTTCTGGCGTCATACTCTATATTTCTTGAGTACCCTATCTCTTTGGCTCTTTTTCTTCATTGCTTCAATCGTGTTTTGAAGGGAAGTTTTGAAATTCTGGTTGATGCCCAAGGCACGTTTGGATTGCTTCCTATAAGAGTTTATATAGAAGGACGTACAGCATCCAGCTTCTTGATAGTTTGCTATTCAAGTGTTCAGTGCTCTTAAGCTCTGTAGGGATCAGCCGATGGAGAATACCTATTTTCTTGAATTCCTTAGGAGGAGATATCTTTCTGATCGATGACCTCAGTTTCTTAGGAAGGCTGTAATGATTCACCATATATTCGTTATATTTTTCAGGATTGGGATCCTGATCAGGGGTTTTGTGCAACTCTTGAACTGCAGCTTCCTTCTTCTCTGTTAAGATTGGGATTTTTTCTTTAAATATTATCTCTGGAGTCTTGCTTTGTTCCTCCTTTAGAAGATCAGACTTGTTCTGATTTTTCATAATCTATTGTGAAGTTTAATTTTTGGAGGATGTGATGTGAGATTTTTGAGATTCGATAAATGAAAAAAAGAGTGTTTACCACACTTTTATTTAAGATTATCATTTGTAACTCCTAAGGTACAGATTCACTTACAATTTTATTTTTACGCTCTTCGAGATCATTCTTCTGTTCTTTTGCGATATTCCTACAAACTACCGATTTTATAATCTCTTCTCCTGAAATCTGATCGAGATTGGTCTCTATCGTGTTTATATCAGTTCCGAAATGAGAAATAGTGCTTTCATTGAGAGTTCTTTCGATAGTTTTCCTCTGATTCTCTCTTGCTAGAAGACTTAAAAAGGTAAAATTACATTCAAATCTCACATTTTTGGCTAACAAAGGCTCTGATATTTTGATAATTTTGGAAGAAACTTCCTTTCTCCCCGACTTTACAACCCCATGCAGTTTCCCAAAAGTGTTCCTATTATTCATCCAAGAAGAGTACCTTGTATTTGATTCGGATTTGTCTACCTTGGGATGCTTGGAAAGACTCCTGACAATAGGCTTTAAATTTGCTTGCAACTTGTTTCTCACTCTTTTAGTCAAAATTCCAAGGGAGTTATCCACAACTCCTAAGTATTGAATCGAATATCCTGTCTATACCATAATCATACTAGTTTTAAGGAATTTTATGGAAATTATGGGAATTTTTACAAAAATAAATCACTTTTATAAAGAATTTAAAACCAAGCTTCTTCTGGATGACGAACTTCCCATGACAATCAAAAAGTAGCTCATACCTCTTTGTAAGCAGACATTTACTTATCAAAAATATTTACTTAACCTTCAATGAGAGGCTACTTTTTAGGGGTTTTGGGGTTTTGGGGTTTTGGGGTTTTGGGGTTTTGGGG